GTTTCAGTCTCCTGAGTAGCTGGGACTACAGGCACGTACCACCATGCCCAGCCAATTTTTGTATTTTTAGTAGAAACGGGGTTTCACCACGTTGGCCAGGATGATCTCAATCCCTTTACCTCGTGATCTGCCTCGCTCGGCCTCCCAAAGTCCAAAGTGCTGAGATTACAGGCGTAAGCCACCGAGCCTGAACTTTTTCTTTATTTCTTTTTTTTGAGACAGAGTCTCGCTTTGTTGCCCAGGCTGGAGTACAATGGCATGATCTCAGCTCACTGTCACCTCCACCTCACAGGTTCAACTGATTCTCCTGCCTCCGCCTCACGAGTAGCTGGGACTGCTGGTGCACACCACCAGACTCGGCTGATTTTTATATTTTTAGTAGAGACAGACTTGTGCCATTTTGGCCAGGCTAGTCTCGAAATCCTGACTTCAGGTGATCTGCCAGCCTTGGCCTCCCAAAGTGCTGGGATTACAGGCATGAACCACTGTGCCCGGCTGGGCTTGTCTTTAAGCAAGAGATTATAACAGCTAATGCTGAATGAGTGCCAATATAGGTGGGACACAGTCTCAAGCATTTTATTTTTATTTATTTATTTATTGAGACAGGGCCTCACTCTGTAGCCCAGGCCGGAGTGCAGTGGCTTGATCTTGGGTGTAATCACAGCTCACTGCAGCCTCGGCCTCCCCGGCTCAAGCAATCCTCCTACCTCAGCCTCCCAAGTAGCTGGGACTATAGGCACTTGTCACCACACCCAGCTATTTTGCAATTTTTTATAGAGAATATCTCGATATGCTGCCCAGTCTGGCCTTGAACTCCTGAGCTCAAGCGATCTGCCCACCTCGGCCTCCCAAAATTTTGGGATTACAGGCATGAGCCACAGTGCCAGGCCTGTGTTTCCTTCTATGAACATAAAGCCAACCCACTGGAGTATGGTCTGCAGGGCTGGTTTTTCTGAACACCTCTGGAATGCAGTGGTGTGATCTTGGCTCACTGCAACCTCTGCCTCCTGGGTTCAAGTGATTCTCCTGCCTCCGCCTCCCAAGTAGCTGGAATTAAAGGCGTGTGCCACCACGCTCGGCTAATTTTTTATATCTTTAGTAGAGACAGGATTTCACCATGTTGGCCAGGCTGGTCTTGAACCCCTGACCTTGTACCTCCGGGGTTCCACTTTGGAGCTAAGGCAATTCTCCTGTCTTAGCCACAAAGTGGCTGGGATTGCAGGCACCTGCCATCACATCTGGCTAATTTTTGTATTTTTAGTAGAGATGGAGTTTCACCATGTTGGCCAAGCTGGTCTCAAACTCCCAACCTCAAGTGATCTGCCCTTGTTGATCTCCCAGGGTGCTGGAATTACAGGCGTGAGCCACCGTGCCCGGCCTTGAATGTCCTCTTGACATGGTGGCTGGCTTTCCCCAGAGGGAGTGATCAAGAGAGCCAGGCAGAAGCCATGCTGCCTTATATGATTTGTCTCAGAAGTCACACACTATCCCTTCTGGGGATCCCATTGATTACACTGATGAGCGCCATTCATTGTGGGAAGGGTCTGTACCACGGTAGGAATACCAGGAGAGGAGCTGCAGTAGCAGCCACGTGGGAGGCTGGCTACCACACAGGTGGACACAGTTACTTCTCCAATAACTCCATAAGGTAGATACTCCTAACAGACATATCTTGTAGATGAGGAAACAGGTAGAAATGTGGAGTAACTTGTTCAGATTCACAGTCTTTTTTTTTTTTGAGACGGAGTCTCGCTCTGTCACCAGGCTGGAGTGTAGTGGCTCGATCTTGGCACACTGCAACCTCCCCTCCCAGGTTCAGGTGATTCTCCTGCCTCAGCCTCCTGAGTAGCTGGGATTACAGGTGCCCACCACCATGCCTGGCTGAATTTTTTTTTTTTTTTTTGGCATTTCTAGTAGAGATGGGGTTTCACCGTGTTGGCCAGGATGATCTCGAACTCCTGACTTCGTGATCCACCTGACTTGGCCTTCCAAAGTGCTGGGATTACAGGCGTGAGCCACCGTGCCTGGCCTGGAGCTCTTAATTTCAAACCTCTCCTTTGCTTCACCCGATTCAGATGACTCTGTCTCACCCATTCGTTCAGCAAACGTTGCTGAGCACTTACCACATAAGTCAGGCGAGAGACAGAACATGGGAGACATAGTAATGCCCAGGCAAGATGAATTCCTTGTCTACCTGCAGCTAAGAGTCTAGCAGGGGAGACAAGTTACTGGCACATTCTACAGAGTGATGAGTGCAATGACGGGAAGGCGTGGGGGTCTTGGGGTGCAGAGGAAGACACAAACCAGTCAGGGATAGGTGTCTTTTTTTTTTTGAGGGGGGCACAAAGTCTCACTCTGTCGCCCAGGCTGAATTGCAGTGGCCACAATCTCATGATCTCAGCTCACTGCAACCTCCACCTCCCAGGTTCAAGCGATTCTCCTGCCTCAGCCTCCTAAGTAGCTGGGATTACAGGCACCTGCCACCACGCCTGGCTACTTTTTGAATTTTTAGTAGAGACAGGGTTTTGCCATGTTGGCCAGGCTAGTCTTGAACTTCTGACCTCAGTTGATCCGCCCACCTCGACCTCCCAAAGTGCTTGGATTACAGGCATGAGGCACCGCACCTGGCCAAGGATAGGTGTCTCATTTAGCAGGTGAGACAAGAGTAGGCCAGACTGGGAGGACTTTTCCCAGCAGAGAGAACAGTCATGCAGAGGTTCAGGGGAGAGGGAGCCAAGACGCTGAGAAATTTCCCGTTGAGAGCCTGGCCTGGGGGAGGTGGAAGTGGTAGAGCTCAGTGCTGTCAGGATCAGAGCAGGGAGGGGGAAGCTAAGGAGGTACTAATGTGGTACCTCATTGGCATGGAAAGGCCTCTGCACAGGAATTGGCCTCACTCAACCTGTGAGTCTCCTATCCCACCCCCCTCCAAGGCGGCGAGGGGCAGCCAGGCAGCTCAGTACCCTCTCTGCTTATCTTCCCCTGTGGGGGAAGAACTGACCCTGCTGCTGTGAATGTGGTTATCATTCCCAGATGCAGAGCCCGCAGGGCAGGGCAGAGGTTAGGGAAGCACAGCTGGAGTGGGCGGTGCCCCATCTGTGTCTCCAGGTTTAAGTGTTAATGGGTGCTGCATCCCAGCCTGGAGGAGGTGCTCCCTAATGGCCATTAGGGTGGCCAGGCTGTGCTTCCCCCACATCCCATCCTCTTTATGGACAAAGGTGGGGATGAGAGAAACTTAAGTCGAAAAGTAAGAAATAGGCCAGGCGCGGTGGCTCACACCTGTAATCCTAGCACTTTGGGAGGCTGAGGTGGGTGGATCATTTGAGGTCAGGAGTTCAAGACCGACCTGGCCAAGATGGTGAAACCTCATCTGTACTAAAAATACAAAAAAAAATTAGCTGGGTGTGGTGGCAGACACTTGTAGTCCCAGCTACTTGGGAGGCTGAGGCAGGAGAATCGCTTGAACTTGGGAGGTAGAGGGTGCAGACAGCCAAGATCGAGTCACTGAACTCTAGCCTGGGTGACTGAGAAAGACTCTGTCTCACAAAAAAAAAAAAAAGTAAGAAATAGGGAGGATGGGAGAAATAAAAAGGCTTCTAGGCCAGGCCTGGGGGCTCACACCTGTAATCCCAGCACTTTGGGAGGCCTGACTCGGCAGGTGGATCAACTGAGGTCAGGAGTTCAAGACCAGCCTGGCTGCCTGGCTAACATGGCGAAACTCCATCTATACTAAAAATACCAAAAAAATTAGCTGGGCAATAAAATTAGCCCAGCCTCTACCCTGTGGAGTCAGAACCTATATCAGAGATCACCAATGTGCAGAAACAATTATAGTGTGATGAGTGGTCCCAGTTGAAGGGCAAAAGAAACTGCAAGAAAACAATACCATAAAACAGCATTATAGAGATTTTCCTATCCCACCTAGGATCCACATAGGGATTGGCCCTGGGCACAGATCCCTGGCGGCAGCCTGAATCACTGTATCTAACTTGGCTTCAAGGCAACTCCACCAACCTTTGTTAAATAAGGCTCCAGGCCCCCGGGTACCGGCTGCCCCCTCACAAGTTCCCTTACACACACCTGGACCCCTCCCTTCCCCCACATCATAAGCAAGGAGGAAGAAGAAGAGCCGAGGCTGGGAAACGCTGTGGTGGCAGGTGGGATCCAACATCCCACATGTTTACCGAGACCGGGAGGGTCTTCCCCTCCAAGAGACCCTTGGACAGCAGCTGCTATGTTCATGCATCCTTCCTTGGGACAGGGGGCAGACTAGATGTCCTAAGACTGGCAGCTTCCTCTCTGGGACCCCAGAGGAAAGTGGGAGAAATGCTCCTCCCTGGGGCCTTCTTGAAGGTCCTGGACTGAGTCCCATTGGGCACAGGTCAGGTAGCAGTGTGCAGGTCTCTGGGTTCTGCAGAATTTATATGGAGGGCAGGCGTTATGCTGGAATGAAGCCCAGGCATGTCAGTGATGGGAAAGTGTGCCCTGAGGCATGGAATGCTGCCCGTGATCAACAGGAGCTTCCACTGTAGACTCTTTCTAGGCCGGGGCTCATTCTCTGTACCAACATCAACATCTCTCTGCCCTGGCCCCATTCCAGGCTTCATTAAGCAAAGAGTGCTAGGAAGTTCTGCACCCACTGCTAGAGGGCAGGAACTATGTCCTGTTTAGCCTTTATTCCCCGCGCCTGGACATGACAGCTCTATCGGGCGCTTATTCACTTAAGGGGTGGGGTCCCGGTTGAGAGGCGAAGGATTTGGCAAGAGAGGGCATGGGGGACAGAGACAGAGGAGCAAAGTCTGGGGAGGGGTGGGAAGTTCTTGGGAGAAGGGTGGAAAGACACGAAGGAAGGCGAGCAGAGGACAAGGAAAGGGGGCTTCTCACCTTCCGAGTGATCTGGCCTGGAGGAGGGAGGGGCCGCCAGCCGCCCTCGCAACCGTCACCTTGCCCCACCAGGGAACTCGGGGTGCGGCCCTCGGCAGCCTTGGGCCAGCCGCCAGGTCCCCGCCCTCCGCAGGATTTACCCCTGTCCCGCCTTCTTCAGCCCAGGCAGCCTGGGAGGTTCCGCAGTCGCCGCTTCCGCCTTGGCCAGGTGAGGCTCCGCACTGAGCAGGGGGCCGCGGCTGGCTCGGGTGGAGGAATCGCCATCTCTGGAGGCGAGTCTGTGGGGTGCTGGGCCTGTCCCCTTCTCCCGCGTCCTTCCATCCCGAAGCCGTGCTTCCTCCTGTCTCCTTTCTCCCACGCTCCTCGCTTCCCACCAGGCGCGCAGGGCCTTGTACCCAGGGTCCTGGGCTTTCGCCTTCCCCAGCCAACCCCTGCTGGCACCAGGTTCTGAGCCCACCTGCGCGTTTCTAACTAGCCCCAGCCTTGGTCCTCTTCTTCCTCCTTGCTTATACCGTAGGGGAAGGGAGGACTCCAGGTGTGTGTTAGGGAAAGTGTGAGAGCAGCCTGCCAGTAACCAGAGGCCCTGAGCCTTATTTAATAAAGGTTGGTGGAGTTACCTTGAAGCCAAGTTAGGCAGAGTGATTCAGGCTGCCGCCAGGGATCTGTACCTGGGGCTGAGCTCAGGTGGGTGTGAGACTGTGTACCTGATAGCCTCAGTGCCCCCGCAGGCAGCACCTAAGCCTAGCGGCCATCACCATGCCTGATTTGATTTCAAATGTGGCTGCCTCCAGTGGAGGAGACCTCTTTTGGCTTGAGGGAGCCCTATGCCCCCATAGCTCAGGTATGTGTGCCCGCTCTACCTCAACGTCTTGTGTGTTGTGTTCACGTGGACCTTCATGTTTTAGCCAAGTGGGGTGGTGTATCTAGGTGTTTGGAGGCCGTGAACTGCTGCGTCCCACGCATGTGACACAGATGTACAAGGAACATCTCATGGAAGGACATGGATGTGCACCGTGTGTGGTAGTCAGCCTGGGCGTTTTGTGGCTGCATGCTGGAATGCCTCAGCATTAAGCGGACATGTATCTGTAGTCTCGGGCGTGTTTTGCAGCATATCTGTAGGTCTCGGTATGTGTGTGTGTGGCCGTGTGTGGGAGGCAATGTACCTTCATGTGTGTACATGCTCTACCTACATGTCGGAGGTACAGTGTGGTTGGCATATCTGGGCATCTCCATGTGTGTGGTTGGCAAACACGTCTCATGTTGGAGGAAGGGAGGTGTCTCAGGTGTGTGTGAGTGAGTGTCTCAGGTGTGTATGTGCCACTGTGTAGCTCAGGTCTAAAAGAGCAGTATATCTGGGTGTGTGATGTGCCATGCTATCGCTGAGTCAGGAGGGGATATACCTGGAGTGTGTAGTGGGAGCAGGCAGTGTACTAAAATTGCAGGTGTGAGCAGGACAGGTTACTCAGCGGTGAGGGGACAGAGTACCCGGATGCTGTGGGCATGAGGAACATTCTACCTGGGGTTTGTGTGTGTGAGTGGCAGGAATCCTGGCTGTCTCTGCTGTGTCCCTACCTCTGTACCTGAGTGTTTCTGATGACTTGCAGGTGGAGCTGGAAACCCGGTCTCTCTAGGGCCTACCCTGGGTAGGCCTGAGAACAGCTGAAGGAGAGTGCTGCCATCCTTAGGGACTCCTCCTCCAGACATGCTTCCTGAGGCTGGCTCCCTGTGGCTACTAAAGCTGCTCCGGGACATCCAGCTGGCCCAGTTTTACTGGCCCATCCTTGAGGAGCTTAATGTCACTCGGCCGGAGCACTTTGACTTTGTCAAGCCTGAGGACCTGGACAGCATTGGCATGGGTCGGCCTGGTGAGCAACCCCTGCCCCAGGCCCTGTTCTCTCTGTCTACAGCCTATCAGCTGCCTCCCCCCACCACAACCATCTCCCAGCCCTTTTCTTCCCTGTAAATCTCTCTGCACTGTTCCCCACCCCCACCTCCACCCCAGCCCTGATTCTGACCTCCCACAGCCCAGCGCAGACTGTCGGAAGCTCTAAAGAGGCTACGATCTGGGCCTAAGTCTAAGAACTGGGTCTATAAGGTGTGTGTTATGGGTAGGGCAGCCTGGGCCTGGGAATGGGGGGGCTTGAGGGGCAGGGAGGGTATGCAGGGCTCTACATACCGGATTTTCCACCCCTGTTTCAGATCCTTGGAGGTTTTGCCCCTGAGCACAAGGAGCCCACCCTGCCCTCGCAGGGCCCACCGCACCTCCCTGAGCCAGAGGGCGGACTCAAGTGTCTGATCCCAGAGGGTGCTGTGTGCAGAAGGGAGCTGCTGGGCTCTGGCTGCTTTGGGGTGGTGCACCGAGGGCTGTGGACGCTCCCCAGCGGCAAGAGTGTGAGTGTCCGGGGAGCCTGCGTCATCCAGCCCAGCTGCCCCCTCTGTTCTTCATGCCCACAATGCCTGAAGGCGCTTCCCCCCACCTCCAGGTCCCAGTGGCTGTCAAGTCCCTCCGGGTAGGTCCTGAAGGCCCGGTGGGCACAGAGCTGGGGGACTTCCTGCGAGAGGTATCGGTCATGATGAACTTGGAGCACCCGCACGTCCTGCGTCTGCACGGCCTGGTACTGGGCCAGCCTCTGCAGATGGTGAGCAGGTCCAGCCGCTGCTTCCCCGAGAGCCGTGCGGCACGAGCGCGGGCGGCCAGAGTCCTGTGGGTCCGGCTGACGCGGCACGGTGCTCCCTCCCGCAGGTGATGGAGCTGGCGCCACTGGGCTCCCTGCACGCGCGCCTAACGGCCCCGGCCCCGACACCCCCACTGCCTGTGGCCCTGCTCTTCCTCTTCCTGCGACAGCTGGCGGGGGCCATGGCCTACCTGGGGGCCCGCGGGCTGGTGCACCGAGACCTCGCTACGCGCAACCTGCTGCTGGCGTCGGCGCGCACCATCAAGGTGGCAGACTTCGGGCTGGTGCGGCCTCTGAGTGGCGCCCGGGGCCGCTACGTCATGGGCGGGCCCCGCCCCATCCCCTATGCCTGGTGAGCACTGGCCGCGGGGGCGGTCGGGCTGCCAGCAGGGCGGATGGGGAGGGCAGCAGCCGAGGGAGATCGGAGGGGGCCGGGCTTCTGAGGCAGGCTAGGACAAGAAGGGTTATCCTCCTTGGAAAAAGGGACTTCTGTGGACGATGGAAGCACTCTGGGGTGCTCCGTGGAAGATGAGCGCCAAGGAGCACGTGTCCGGCCCCCTTCAGCTCCACTTCCTTCTGCAGGTGTGCCCCAGAGAGCCTGCGCCACGGAGCCTTCTCGTCTGCCTCAGACGTGTGGATGTTTGGGGTGACGCTGTGGGAGATGTTCTCCGGGGGAGAGGAACCCTGGGCTGGGGTCCCACCGTACCTCATCCTGCAGCGGCTGGAGGACAGAGCCCGGCTGCCTAGGCCTCCCCTCTGCTCCAGGACCCTCTACTCCCTAGCCTTGCGCTGCTGGGCCCCCCACCCTGCTGACCGGCCTAGCTTTACCCACCTGGAAGAACTGCTGCAAGAGGTGGGGACCCCCTCCCTCACCAGATACACAGTCTGTCTTCCCTCCATTCGCCCTTCCAGAGTGCCATGCAAAAACTGACGTATCCAGATGCCCGTGCTGGGCCCTGGGACTCAGCTCTGAGCAAAACAGATGCAGTCCCTACCTGCAGGGAGCTCAGAATTCTGGGGAGGCAGCTTGAGGCTATACAGATGGAAGCTGAAAGGCTGGGGTCTGTGTCTGGGCCAGAAAAGGGCCATAGAGGAGACAGCAGTCAGTTGCAGTGGGTGTTGACAGGCAGAGAAAGAGAAACGTTCCGCATGAGAGGGGGAAATAGAATGAGGCCACAGAGTGAGCAGGAGGTGTCATGGAGGGCTTTGCAAGGTGTGTTAAGCTAACGTGTAGAGCAATTGACCTGTCTGGGACGCTGCACTGTCTGCTCTACATGGGCGCTATGCAGATTCACTCATTTAGTTCCGTCAACCACTGGATGAGGTTATTACTACTGAGACAGAGTCTCACTTTGTCACCCTAGCTGAAGTGCAGTTGTGGGATCTCAGCTCACTGCCACCTCCCCCTCCCGGGTTCAAGCGATTTTCCTGCTTCAGCCTCCTGAGTAGCTGGGACTACAGGCACCCGCCACCACACCCAGCTAATTTTTGTATTTTTAGTAGAGATGGGGTTTCACCATGTTAGCCAGGCTGGTCTCGAACTTCTGACCTCAAATGATCCACCCACCCCAGCCTCCCAAAGTGTTGGGATTATAGGCGTGAGCCACTGTGCCCGGCCTGGATGAGGTAATTATTATCTCCATGTTACTGATGGGCAGTTGAGGCACTGAGTGTTTAAGTGACTTGTCTAAAGTCACACAATACATGGAGGAGTTGGGATTTGAGCCCGTCGATTTGACTTCAGAGCCTTTCCCTAAGTTGCTACACTCTACTGCTAAAGTTTAGTCTTTACTCTGAAGGCATTTGGGAGCCATGGAAGCCTACTGAACAGGGCAGTGACAAGCCACTCTGCGGATTACAACACTCTGGGTGGTGCAGGAATGGATTAGAGGGCTGATGATGAGGATGGGAGACCAGGTAGGCAACAGTGGCTGTGAAGCAGAGAAAGATGAGGAGGTCTGGATGAGGGTAGAGGCAGTGGGGCTGCAGAGGAGTGGAAATTTCCCAGAGGGTCTTGGGGGGGAATCTGACGGGCCTGGATGTGGAGTGAAAGCAGAGTAGGGGGTGATGCTCCTATCAGTGCCCCTAGGTAGAGCCAGGGCCCTCCTCTCTTGCCCCCTGAGCCCTAACCTGTTTGTCATGGGATCCAGGTCTGCCTCCCTCACTGAATTACAACTGGGGGACAGGGAGATTCCCACCCTGGGCCTAGCACAGGCAACATACAGAGCGGGGCTCCTTTATTCCTGCTCCCATGATTACCTTTCTGACTCAGGCCAGGAGCCCAGCCACCCTTTCCTCTTGTCTCCACAGGCCTGGCCTTCAGAAGGATGCTGTGTGAGGGATGTCACAGAGCCAGGCGCCCTGAGGATGGAGCCTGGTGACCCCATCACAGTCATCGAGGGCAGGTGACAGCCCCATGCCTCCCAAGCATCCCCAGGAGGATACCCTCCCAACCTTCCTGATTCCTGATCCCATCTCTGCTTTTCTCCAGCTCCTTGAACCCTGATCTTCTGTCTCTTCTCCTCTCCCCACTGGGCCCTGAATGCTCCAGCATGGTCCTGGCCTCCCTGCTGGCCCATACAGCCCTATCGCATTAGGGAAAAGGCTTCCCTTCCTCCAGGTAGACACAGCTCCAAGGCACATAGCCTAGTGAGCTGAATGTGGGCCAGGGCCCAGCCCTAACTCCTGCCCCTGTTTCCACCCTATTTACCAGCTCCTCTTTCCACAGCCCTGACTCCACAATCTGGAAGGGCCAGAATGGTCGTACCTTCAAAGTGGGCAGCTTCCCAGCCTCTGCAGTGACTCTGGTAGATTCAGGGGGCTTGCCAGCCACCCGTCCAGTCCACAGAGGCACCCCTGCCCGGGGAGATCAACACCCAGGAAGCATAGATGGGTAAGGACCTGAAAGGGTGGGGGACAGGGGTGGGCTAGGAGAACTGACAAAGTCTAGGGACTTCTCTGGAAGGGAAGCTTGGGGACAGGACCAGAGTGAAGCTGCAGTCTCCTCCCTGGGCCCTGAGTCTCTTGGGTTCCCCCGTGAGTTTTTTTGGTGGGTAGAAGGGATATTGATCTGTGGGATGGGGAGGGTTGGTGTGGAGGAAGAACTGGATCTCTCTCTGACAGAGACAGAAAGAAGGCAAATCTTTGGGATGTGCCTCCAGCACGGGGCCAGAGAAGAAATGCGCCCCTTGAGAGGATGAAAGGTGGGTGTGGTGGGACTCTGGGGTCTCTAAGGAGATCAAACCAGCCCTTCAAATTCTGACCCCCTGCCCTGAATCCGTGCCTTTGCATCTATTATTTCCTTCCTCTGAATTCTGTCTGCTGGCATCCTAGGTGGACTGAAATCTTCAAAGATAGGAAGCCCTCTTGCTTTTCCTACTGAAGAACACCTCCACACTCTGGGCCCTCCGCCTAGGCCTTGGTGTCCATTTGCACCTCTGTCCTATTGTCCTACCTGCCACATGAACCACCCAAGGACAGGGCTGGCTAGCTCATCTGCAAATGCTTGCGAAACCATCCAGCCCAGCATAGATGAAGACAGAGAGTGGGCAGGGCGCGGCAGCTCATGCCTGTAATCCCAGCACTTTGGGAGGCCAAGGTGGGCAGATGGCTTGAGTCCAGGAGTTTGAGATTAGCCTGGGCAACATGGCGAAACCCCGTCTCTACAAAAATACAAAAATTAGCCAGGTGTGGTGGCAGGCACCTGTGGACCCAGCTACTCAGGAGGCTGAGGTGGGAGGATCACTTGAGCCCGGGAGGCGGAGGCTGCCGCAAGCCGAGATCAAGTTGTTTCTTTCTCAACTGTGCAGGCATTTCCAGGAGTCTGGAGTCAGTTCTGTCCCTGGGTCCTCGCCCCACAGGGGGTGGTTCAAGCCCCCCTGAAATTCGACAAGCCAGAGCTGTACCCCAGGGACCCCCAGGCCTGCCTCCACGCCCACCTTTATCCTCCAGCTCTCCTCAGCCCAGCCAACCCCCTAGGGAGCGGCTTCCCTGGCCCAAAAGAAAACCCCCACACAATCACCCCATGGGAGCGCCTGGAGCTAGCAAAGCCACTGTCCTCTCTGGAGGCCTCTTGCCTGATCCTGAGTTGCAGAGGAAGATTATGGAGGTGAGGTCTCACTGAAATGGCCTGGTGTCCAGAAGGGGCTACAGGCAGGGGCAGGGGCCTGAGTGAGGCTTTGTCTGTCCCAGGTGGAACTGAGTGTGCATGGAGTCACCCACCAGGAGTGCCAGGCAGCACTGGGAGCCACCAGGGGAGATGTGGTTTCAGCCATCCAGAACCTCAAGGTAAAGCCAGCCCTGGCCAGGCGTGGTGGCTCATGCCTGTCATCCCAGCACTTTGGGAGGCCTAGGCAGGCGGATCACCTGAGTCAGGATTTCAAGTTGAGCCTGGCCAGTATGGGTGAAACCCTGTCTCTACTGAAAATATAAAAAATTAGCCGGTTGCCTGTAATGCCAGCTACTCAGGAGGCTGAGGCAGGAGGATTTCTTGAACCTGGGAGGTGGAGGTTGCAGTGAGTCCAGATCGCACCATTGCACCCCACCCTGGCAGACAAGACTGAAACTGAGTCTTAAGAAAAAAGCCAGCCCCTTCTCTCGGGGTCCCTTCTCTCCTGCCCCTGCCACCTGGCAGTCAGCTGCAGCCCACCCTCCTGCTTCCACAGGTAGACCAGCTCTTCCACCTGAGTAGCCGGTCCAGGGCTGACTGCCGGCGCATCCTAGAGCATTACCAGTGGGACCTCTCAGCTGCCAGTCGCTACGTCCTGGCCAGGCCCTGAGCTCGCTTCTGTGGGCATGGACACCAGCATGAAAAGCCTAGGCCCCTGAGGGCCTGGCCACGTGGGACCAAGCAGAACCAGAAAAAGGTCCTGACGGGGGTAGACTTTCCACCTGGGGAGGTCCCACCTGCTATAGGCACGTGGGGGAGGAGCCCAGGGTTGGGCACTGGGAAATGTCTCCTCCCTCCCATGCTCCTTGGCCTCTGAAGGCTGAAGCTCCTTTGGCTGGGCCAAGAAGGATCTAGCCTGCCCACTACATTCTCAAACAAGAGGACAACTTGGAGGAAAAAACTGCTATACATCGTATCCAGAGGAAGCTTCTACTCGCTAGAGAGGATGATCAAGGGGCCACACTGGACCATGCGAACAGCCATCCTGAACTCCGTCAGCTACTGCACTAGACTGCGGGGCAGCCATCTTGGATGATGGAAGCCGCCATATTGACTTGGGGTATGAGGCCCAAACTCTCTTCGTTTGGTCCAGGGCCATGGTGGGTGATGACAACTGCTCTTTGCGTTCAAGGACATTTGATGCTGGTACTATGGATCATGAGACGGACCAGCCCCTGCCCCAGCCCTCACATTCCCCTTTGTTTTTCCTGGCACCAACTCCTTCTACCCTCCCCTATTACATACATCTTCCAATGTCCAAAAAGTTACAAAGTTTATATGAATGTAACATATAAAGATGCAGCCTTTTTCTTAGGGCAAGGGAAGGAAAGGCGGTTAAATAAGGCACAGGAAACGCAGCAAGCACCAGCTGAGGGCAGGGCCCTAGTGGGAGAGGAAGTTGGCACTGGGGTCCCCTGCAGCTACTGTTGGGGAGGTGGAGACCCCATTGAGTGCCAAGGTCTGAGGCTGAACTAATTGGCTGAGCAGATGCAGGAGTGGGGGTGGCTATATCCACCGTCTTTGGTGCAGCTTGCCCTTCCCCACCCAAGCCCTCTTATAAAACCCCAGAGTCCTGGGTTCCAGAGGCCTCCTTTGGAGCAGAGGCCCTGAAAGGGGGTGGGAGGGAGTACGTAGGGAAAGTTTGACAGCTGTTATGCCTGTGTGCTGAGGGACTGCTGGGACAGTGGTGGAAGGTAGCAGGAGAAGGGCTGCCCCTCCTTGGGGACCACAGGGGCAGGAGGCCAGAGAGTAGGGTAGGGATGGGGGCCACCTTCTGTCCCCTGCAGTGTACATGGAGGAAAGGGGCTGTCCAGAGGAGGGCCAGGGCAGGCGACCATCTGGAGTTCTGGCTGAGGCGATGGTCTCCTCACACCATGGTGGCCTCTAACTGGTGACGGCAGAGGGCCCAGCGCCTCCTCGCTTCTCGAAGAACATGTAGTCCTAAGAGGAAGCCACTGTCAACAGGTGATCCAGCAGGGCCAGCCCAGCTCGGCTGTGATGGGCCAGCTCTGGAACCTCGAACCCCCTCCAACATCTATCCCTGACCTTCCCCTAGCAAGAGGCCAGGAAATGCATAAAGCTTCGAGTGACGGCAAAGGACAGGCAGGAGGCGGGGGCAGGGGCAGCCAACTCACAATGAGGAATGTGGCTCCCAGCAGCACAGCCTTCACCCTCACATCCAAGTCCAGTGGGAACTGTAGGCCAAAGTCATCTGCATCCGTGAGGGCTTCTCGGACCAGGCCCCCCCACTGCTTGCTGATGCGGCCCACACTGCGGGATTCATCCCGTGTCTTCACCTGTCAGCGGGGAGGGAGGAATAAGCCAACTGAGGAGTAGGCAGCCAGTCTCACCTGCCTCCGGTCTCACTCCCACAGTCACATGAATGAATTTGCAGGCTCTACACTCAGTGAATCTTCCCTTCTAGAGGTCACCCAGTGATCGCTTTCCCAACTGGTTCCCGTCACCAAGTATGACAGCTGGGGAAACTGAGGCACTCTAGATTACGCTGTAAGTCTCTAACCAAAATCAGGATTCAGATTCAGATCTGCTGCTATCCAAAGGTGATGCATGACCTAACTGAGTATCAGTGGTGGGAGAAATGGAAGCATGATCTCATCCAACCCCATGAGGGTATAGCTGTTTGCTAACTGCTTTGGTTCCCAATGCCCCTGCCACCCACAATTGGCACAGTCTGTGTCCTGCACAAAGTACCCTGGCCAAAAGGGCAAGGAAAGCTACCTGAATCCTGGCTGTACTTCACCAGCCAAGAAGGCTCCTAGAAGGCTGTGTCTATCCCAAAGAGTGCCTTCTCTCTAATCTGTAAAGTAGGGGAGGGCCTTGTCCAGCACTGCATGAGAGCCTCATCTAGGGGGATACATGCCTCTCTACTGTGGGGAGGGGCAGCAGTCAGTAGCCTTTGAGGACCACAATTTCCACTGGCTTCTCTGAGCCACACAGCAACAGGCCCTGCCGATGTGGGTAGTTACTGCCCATTACTTCTTGGTCCTTTTCCGGTGCTCATTCTCCAGTGATTACAACTGGAGTTATTTCCTTTTGTGTCATTGCCATCCCCTTCCCGCACTGTCCTATAGCTCTGGGGCATTTCCTGCCATGGTCCTAAGGGTACAGCCGCAAGTATGGACTGTTTATAATTATGTGAAAGGGACACTGGCCCTATGAGAACCCTACAGCCTATAAATTCCCACCCAGAGATCACGCAGTTATTAGTTCTTATTCCCAACTTGTTCCCATCACAGAATCTCCCTTTGGCTACCAAGGTGACTCATTTTTTCAAAGTAGCCTTAGATAGGTACCTCATTAGAAGCGTTGGAAAGTCTACAAGATTATACCTGTTGTTTCTCCCTTACCTGCACAAGGAAGTATCCTTTAAAGAAATCAAGGGTCAGGTCAGGCACAGTGGCTCATGCCTGTAATTCCAGCACTTTGAGAGGCAGAGACGGGCAGATCACGAGGTCAGGAGTTCGAGACCAGCCTGGCCAGCATGGTGAAGCCCTGTCTCTACTAAAAAAAA